TATATATATATATATATATATATATATATATGGAAAATGACACTTGAACAACCATTTTTGACAACATTTAGACACGCGCACACGTGTCAAAATCTGAGTGGTCCAGTTGGAAAAATTAAATGAAAATGGACCACTCAGATTTTGACACGTGTGCGCGTGTCTAAATGTTGTCAAAAATGGTTGTTCAAGTGTCATTTTCCATATATATATATATATATATATATATATATATACCTGGAGGTAAATTACCTTTGTGTACCTTATTATTTAGGTTATTACCTAGTTGATTATCTCTTTTTATATTAGGAATGCAATTTTATTTTAGAAATGTTTAGATTAATAATAAATATAATATAGATTGAAGTATTATTATCTTGGAAAAATTGAAATGATACTTACAACCTAAATCTAACATGATCTCAGTTCACATGACTGTTCCAACTATGAATCCGATGGTCCCAATTCCAAACAATAAATAAAATATCAAAATTAGTGTGAATTATTATATTTTAAATGCATATAAAGAGAAAAGAAAAAAAATCCAGAGAAGCTAAATTGGACTTATATATTTTCCTCGTCAATATGTTTCTTAGTATTTTTATATTTTTTTTTTCTATTTATTTTACTGAACAGGCCCACGCTAATATTGTTTCCAATACCTTTAATGTTTTGCACCGTAAGCTTAGTCAACCTTCACCTTTAATAGTTAAATATGTAACTATTTCCCTTAAATAAAATAAAATTTAGTTTCTGACTCACGCCATTTGGTCAAGCAAGTTTAACTTCTCTTTAATAACAGTAATGGTAAGACTTGACATGCTTCTAAATTAGTTCATAGAAATCCTTGAAACCTTTTTGTTGTAATATCTTTTCAATTATTTTCTTATTTGTATTGATAATTTATTTTCAACTATTGATGATTTCACTAAGCATATTTGTATTTATCTTTTGAAATATACTGTGGACTACATTTACACTTTAATATTCATGTGATATGTTTTTAATTACCATAATCTCAGTTAAAATCATAATGATTAAAAATTAAATACATTTTTTTATTATAATGATCATAACATATTTAATAAAATTTTGTGTTGAATCCTAAAACAAATTTTCGTCTAACACGTAGAAGTTAAAATTGTCAAAAATGAAAGTTAGAAATCATTATCTTTTAAATAAAGTCTAAATAAGTAATATCAAGTTGGTGTATAGAATTTATTTTATTTATATACATTTATCATCACTTTTATCCTATTTAAAAGGGGAATCACAAACATGTTATCCAAATAAAAAGGAATCATTAAATTATTATCCTATATTAATTTGTAATTAGTAAACCTAAAATCTTATTTGATAACTAAGCAGGAACACAGAACATAAATTCATCCCAACTCTTCATACTCATACTTATAGTACATGTGTCTGACTTCTCGTATTCGTTGTTATGCTTGTCTCACACCTAATATTTGTGTCCGTTTTAAATTATTAAAACATTTATAAAAGTAACCTAATAAACTTATCTTTATTATGTTGTCTTGTTCTTAATTTTGTTTAATTTGAAAGACCCATATTATTTGTTGTCACATAATTTTCTCATTTTCTTTTAGTTGTTTAATTTGTTCAATATTCACAAAGATTATGTTAAATATATTATTTCTTCCGCCACAAATTTGATTACACTTTTTTTATTTGATTTGGTTTTGTTAGAAATTATCTCGTGTTTTTCATTAATATGATAGTATCAATATATACATTAAAACAAGAGGAATGGTAGCATATGATTATGGATCTTATGATTGTGAATCACTATGATTATGGATCCTATTCAGATGAGTGATTTCTAATAATTATTTACAAGAAAAATATCTGATATGTATTTATTTACGTTATCTAAGAGGTTCAATGCTCCGTTCACTTGAACGTATTGTACTGTAGATGAGATTTAAGAAGATGGAAAAACGAGATTTTTTATGTTCACTTTAGAGGAAATGAAGGTGATGCTGCGGATTTTATGTTCATCAACTCACATTTCTCGTATTAGCAAAGATTTGACTAGAAGTGTACTTTTATTATATTACCCCTATGTTTTAATAATAATAATAATAATAATATAATTTTTTTTCATTTTAAAAATTAATTTTTATTTTTTTCTCTTCTTATAATAATTTTTACAATTATATATAATATTAACAATTACAATTTTATATTACTTTTATTATTAAGGGTATTTTGGTAATCTTCAATTTTTATCAATTAAACAATTTTTTTTAATTTGTCACATGGTCAAATTGTACACTAATTTTCACAAACTTTATTTATAAATTCACTCTCACTCACCTCTAAATCTCTTCAAACAAACAACAATCAATTCACTCTCAAATTCATCCACTTACTCTTTTCCAAATCAATCATTTAAAGTAAACACACCCTAAATGGTATAATATATATTAGGAAAAAATATTTTCATTAAATCAAACAGTTGTTGAAATATATATTTAATTATTTTTATTTAATGTTTTTTTACATGAGATTATTTAAATTGAAATTTTAAATATTCAATTGTATAAATTAAATCTTGTTAATATCAAATTTTCTATACCTATTATTTGATATATACTAATAAAGATGAGACAAAAATTTATACTCTTAAAAACAAAAATGAAACAAATATAAAAATAAGGATGTCAATAAATTTTTATTTAAAAAGTAAAGATATATATATATATATATATATATATATATATATATATATATATATATATAATTAATCTTAAACTCATCATATAAAGAAGTATGACTTTGTAATAAACAATTAATAATCTAATAAAGCAATTGTATAGAAAATGTTTACATTTGATTTCACATTAAGTTAAATATAAAATCATGATCACATCCAAACGTGAAATTCATCATTTGTAAACCAATTACCAACTAAAATCGTTAAAGGAAACTAATAGGATGAATAAATATATAATTTGCACAAAGGGTTAAGATGCATAAAGATGGAAAGTGAAAAGTGTAGACAATGTGGGAAGGGTTAAGGTTGAATGTAATGAAAATGAAAAGAAAAATATATAAATGACCTGAATTGTATTTGAATGATTGAACTGTAACTTTTTTTAAGAAAAAAGGAAAACGACAATTGAGTATATAATGAACACTAACAAAAAAATGTCAATCAGTAATATTCTCATAAATTATTTTAATAGTCGATTGTACATGTTACTATAGTTTCTTATTATGTATCTGCATAGTAACCATATGACAATTATTTTGAAATAGTAAATCTATGTGTATGTTATGTCATTAATAAATAATTACAAAATATAAATTATTTAAAAAAAAAATTATCTGTCATGAGAAATACATTTTTTTTCACTAAACATAACGAAATAGTGATTTTTTCCAAAAAGAGAAAAAAAAGAAAAAAAGGGGTAAGTTTTATTGTGTTTGTATGTTTAAAAATTATTAGTTATTTTCGTGGACTATAAAATTATAAATATGTGTAAGTATAATATTCGCTTTTCGGTAATATGAGATCTTGTTAAAAATGTGATTTATGGTTTAGAATTTTGTTATTTGGCTTAATACCTCTTTTTGTTCCTCGAAATGTTTAATTTCGTCAAGTTGTGAAAAAAGTGTCCAATTTAATCCTTTTTGGTCACGGCGTTAAATATTTAACGATCCTGCTGACAGCGTGGACTGATGTGTGCAACGTGGCTTTTTTCTTTCGTAACGTGTCATTGATAGTGTTTTTCATTAACTGAGAACGTGGTAGTGGGTAGTGATTAAAATTCTGAGTGTTAGGGTTTGGTTTGGGTAATTCGAAATCGCGATTTGGGGATAAGCATTTTGGAGGGATAAGCATTTTGGAGGGATAATTCATTAAATAAAGTGTTAGGGTTTGGTTTCCTCCGAATTGGTCTTTGAGGATTAGGAATGGGTTCCCAAGGGTGTTTTTCGTTTTCGAAAAGGTGGGTCAAAGGATCTTCTCGTTCGTCCCATGGTGGTGCTTGTAGGGGAGGTGGGTTAATCCCTACTTGTTACTGTGGTGATATTGCAGTAATCAAAGTGGCCAGAACTACGAAGAATGTTGGGAGAAATTTTTGGGGTTGTCCTCATTACAAGGTTTGAAGTATACCCTTCTCAGTTAATGTTTTCTTGAGTTGATTTGATGCATTTGTTCATAGATTCCCTAACATGGTGAATAACAGGGTGGATCTTCAATTGGGAGCTGCTGTAACTTTTTCAAGTGGTGTTGTGAAGACAACGTGGATGAAAAAGATTGCACAATTCTGAAGAGAATAAGTGAGCTGAAAAATGCAGTGAAGGATTTGCAGAAAATCCAGAAAATGATGAAGTTGTTAGTTGTAGCTTTGTGTGTGTGTGTATATTATGGTTGACCTTGTAATTTTGAAGTTGTGGTTAGGTTGATTTAGTTAGATCGTGAATTTGGGTGTTTGTTATAAGTTGGCTTAATACCTGTTATGTATTTGGATGCTTGAAAAAAGTACGTTGACAATGAGAAGGTGTTTTGGTTTAACATCAGTTATCCCAAATCGCGATTTCGAATTACCCAAACCAAACCCTAACACTCAGAATTTTAATCACTGCCCACTGCCACGTTCTTCGTTAATGAAAAACACTGTCACTGCCACGTTACGAAGGTAAACAGCCACGTTGCACACATCTGTCCACACTGTCAACTGGATCGTTAAATAATTAACGCTGTGACCAAAAAGAATTGAACACTTTTTACACAACTTGAAACCAAATTGAACTTTTTGAGAAAGGTAGGACGAAATTGAACCTTTCCCTTAAAAAAAAAATATTAAGCCTTGTTATTTTAACACTAACAAAATCTCGTTAAAAACCAAAACCTTCCCAGGATCGAGTCACGAAGCAATCTCAAAAGAAAAGAGATTTGAAAGTTGCGGAGTATCGTGATCATAGCCACTTCAGTAGCAGTTTTTGAGTTTTCCAAATTCCATCAGATAATTTCGGATCAAACTACAGCAACTCTACAGCCACAGCTCTGGTAAATTCATCTTCTATTATGCACTCAGTAGTAGCTGCTACAACAAGTGAAGTAGATCTCATCTCAACCAAGTACGCGTTTTCCTCAACCCGATTTTGGAACTCGATTAAAAGGGGTTTTCATATGACTATTACATCATTTTTCTGATGGAAGTCCCCAAATCCCCTTCCAAATACAAGCGAATCGCCAAACACAAATGGCTTATAAAATTCGGTTTAGTAATTTTGGTGATGCTGCTATTGTTTCTGGGTTTTTATCTCGAGTCAGAAACCAGAAAACTCAATGCGAACCGGAAAACACAAATGGGTATTACACTGTGGTTGTGGATTGTGGAAGCACTGGGACACGGGTGAATGTGTATGAGTGGATGGTAGGGGTGAAAGGAGCAATCAAAGGGAACTTGCCAGTGTTGCTGCACTCCTATCCTGATAATACAACGAAGAGGAGTTCACTTTGGAAAGGTTCTTGTCAATATCACTGTATGCAAACTGAACCCGGGTTACACAACTTTATTAATGATTCTTTAGGAGTGAGACAGGCTTTGGAGCCCTTGATTGTGTGGGCGGAGCAAGTGGTGCCGCGAGAAATGCGCGGCAATACTCCTGCTTTTGTCTTGGCTACTGCTGGGTTGAGGGGGCTCGCCTTGGAGGACGCTGATAGGGTATTGGGAGATATTGAGGCTGTTGTGAAAGGCCATAGCTTTATGAGGAGCAAGGGTTGGATAAGGGTTTTGAGTGGGAAGGAGGAAGCTTATTATGGCTGGGTGGCTTTGAACTACAGAATGGGCACCTTTGATGAGAACTATCCCAAGTCTCCCACTTTGGGACTTGTTGATATTGGGGGCTCGTCGTTGCAGATTGTGGCAGAGATAGATGTTGCTGGTGATGATGTGCATGTGATGAAATCAAGGCTCGGATGAATGGAGCATCGGATTATGGCATATTCATTTCCTGCGTTTGGCCTAAATGAAGCGTTTGATAGGACAGTTCTTATGCTCAGAAACAATCAAGGTGAGGAAAGAACTGCCAGTATCGCTGACCTCAAACATCCTTGTCTGTTATCAACTTATGTACAAAACTATACATGCCATTCTTGCTCTGCATTGGCTTCCATTTATGAGAAAAATCACAGCCAAGACCAGGAAAGTGAACTTTATTCTTTACGTCTTACTGGAGAACCTAATTGGGAGCAATGCAAAGAACTAGCTATTGGTGCTGCTATGAACCCGAGTTCCAAAGTGTCACATCTGACAGTTAGCAGAAATTGCCAAGCTAGTTTAGTTTCTGGTACTGGTAAGGGTATAATCATTTGTTTGCATTGTAGTTTTCTTATTTTATTAATTCACGCCTTACAATTTTTATGAAATTTTCTCTTGGTCTTCTTGAAGTCTGTTGAATATACATGTTAATGGAAACTTATAATAATTTCAGCATGGCAAATTTTTAGCAGTTGGTTTGGTTTGTACCCGGTGGCTATATGTAGTTACTTTCATTTTTTCAACCTCTCACCCGTTCTCCAAAACGCTACTTTGTAAAATCGTAAAAATGAAAAGTAGATCAAACAATAAAGAAACATTATTGCATCCTCTCTATGATCATACCAAAAAATTTACTTGTTGATTGTGTGAAACTATATCACTTTTGATGACTAAGGTTGTCATACAGTCCACCTTTTCTCTATGTGTTGACATTGCACAGCCCTAGCTCCCTGATAACATGGAAGAAAGGGTGGTTAAAAGTTTTGTTTCTATTATGTGCTGGTAGGAACTTACTGTGTTTCATTACGTACCTTGCAGGCACTGATATACTTAATTTAACAGCTGTTGCACAACCAGCCAAGTTTCATGCGTTGTCTGGTTTCTTTTTTGTCTACAACAAGCTAAATTTGAGCCCAAGAACCAACTTAACAATGGTTTGGGATTCAGGCAAACAAATATGTTCAAATTTATGGTCTTGTTTGAGCAGTGTTTCTGAAAATCCAAATTATGCTGGACAATTTTGTTTCTAGGTGGCTTATATGGCATCATTGATTGATTATGGTCTCTGTCTTGGTGATGTTGAAGTGGTATTTGGCCCAGGTGACATTTCGTGGACTTTAGGAGCTGCATTAATTGAAGGGAAATTTTTGTGGTTAAACAGTACAAGCTACGAAACCCATGCTATTATTTCAACTTTAAAGAATGTCAAGGTCACGTCTTCTCCTACTGTTCTATTTGCTGTACTCGTATTACTTTCATTGATTGTTTATTGTAGTCAAATTAAGCTACCAATGCCAAGTAGAAGGGATTCTGCTTCTGGCTCATCTTTGCCATCTTATACTCCTGTAAGACGTCGATCTAACTAATAATATTTCGGCATTTTTCTGTCAGTCCTTTGCATAATTCATTTTTGAAGAATGACATGACATTGGAAGTTCTAGAAATCAATGTTTATTTACTTTGACTCACTCAATTTTAAAACTGACACTTTAATAGGAGGAAACCAACATTGTCCCCAATGTTTTGGTACCAATTGCACAATATTAATGAAAAATAGTTGAGGGATTGTCATGTATTGGCAGTTTCATTTTCAGTTGATGTAACCTGAGTATTTTATGAAACCTAAAAGCCATCCAAGTCATATTTGGGGAATTCTGAAATGAAGAATATGACTTGAGAAGTCAAAAATATGTTCTCAATATGAATATTTGTCTATCATTCGGTGCTTGTACAATCTTAACATTTGATATTAATGACTTACCTTGCCTGTATAAATTATTGTTTGAACATCAAAATAGAAGAAATAAGTATAATATAATTGTATTATAAATATACTTGCTATAAACATTCTAAATTCCTTTAATTGATATTTCTTTTGCTCATTCCTCTTTTTTTTTTTTTCTTGATTTTTATGGGTCACTGGTGGATCCAGGGACTGAGATAGTAAAAGATAGCTTTCACAGGCTGCTAACTCCTTTGGCCTCTAGACTGACCAGTTAAAGTTTTTTCCATAGGCAAAGAGAAATTTTAAATAAAACAGTAGCATTGATAACATAAGATATGCTATGAGTGCAGGGAATAAACGCACCCAAGAATTCTGAGGTGCGTACATCTTCTTGTTCACTACCATCATATATTACCGAAGACAAACCCCACCCCTACATGAACTGACTAGTTAGAGTTAACTTTAAAGCAATGTTATATGGAAGAGAGAAAAACGAAGAAACTTAACACGTTGTAATATGTTGACTGTAGTTGAAGACATTTAGCTATGAATTCATGTTATTTTGTGAAGGAATGCTACTACCAGTCTTTTCTAAACGCTTTCTTTTATTTAGAAAAATTCACAGGCATGTCATCATTAAATGATGTAGGTCCCTCGCTTTATTTGGTAGGTCACACTCCCATGAACATATGTGTGTTGAAAAGAGCATGCTATTAATGTCTCTCTTTTATTGTAGTGCTTCTTGTTTGATTTAGTACTTTTATTTTATAATCATATCTACTTGATTCTTGGCTGCATTTGATTCCAATTCTTGGCTGCATTGAATTAACCCGTGAAACCTGATCTTACGAGGCAACATATTATACTCATCAAGGGCAAATTTAGCGTTCCGATGGCTACTTGAAGTTTGGACCTTTTATTTTTTTCTTCCTCCAATCCTATCATTAACATTGAATTTAACAAAGAATAAGCTTTCACAAACTAGGACAATATATGAGAGACATAATTGCAGTGACTCAACTTGTAAATCTTGTCATTCGTGTCGCATATTCTCAAACATAATTGAGGTTGGGACCTGCAAAACTAGATCACCTCCTTGAGAAATGACCCTCAACTTGATCGACCTACTGGTTCGATTCTGGTTATCACAAGAAATTAATCTCACTTTATAATTTTCTTAACGCTAAAGATGTTTTTCATAAATTATGGTCTAATTTCTTTATGGGCTTGGTTGGGTTGGTTTAAAATCTGTTAAGAAATTGGTTTGAGTTAATTACTTAAACTAGACTAACTCAATCCAATCTGATTATATTCAGTTGAGTACACAGATTCATATTGTTACTATGTTACAAATGGGTTTGCACAGTTTGGAGCTTCTGCCTCCAGTGTGGTATGCAGGAGTATAAGGTGGCAATGTCATGATCCATGATATTAATGATGTAAATGTGATCTATAAATATAGGCGAGAATGAATATCTATATTGTATCAGGTCAATTTTCGTACGGTAATTTTCTCTTAAAACATTCTCCTCTTCAGAAAATATGGCTTTGTTGTATACTGACTTAAAAAGCAGCATGACCCACCATCCCTCGGAGAACATGCAGGATCCCATTTACAGGATACTCAGTTCCAGCGTCATTTCCATGCTACACTAACATGACTTTTCATGTTTCGTCTTCTTTTCCTCCACCCTTTCTCTCAAATTTTCCACCTTGGCACGCTTCTCGGCAACAAAGTCCCTGGTTATCAAGAAAGCTAGCCACAGGACAGGATAACGTGGAGTATGGACTACAAAGGAGGAGTTTACTGGTTCCGCTCTGTGCATTCAGGCAGACAGGAAATGGCTGAGCCTTAGTCATTGCTGTACTTCCAGTTCCAGCTGTAAAGTTGATTGTGAATGAATCTCAAACGTGGGCAATATGAAAGTAAGAAAATGGTGGTGGTACATAAAGATAACGAGGCACGTATAATAATAGCATAGGACTCAATTGACTGACAAACTTCAATATCAAAACAAGATACATAGAAAAATGGTTCCATTTGAACGCAAAGTTGAAATCGAATCAATTTTTCTCTCAAGAACATTAATTAGACTGTTTGAATGCTTTTAATGTACTTTAACTTGTTTCATAGGGTAGAAAATGGAGGATGAGTGTTTAAAAATATGCCTCCTTTTTTCCATGAGCTTTAACCAGACCTGGTTATAGCCTTAAAAGAATAATATATATAATATATATATATATATATATATATATATATATATATATATATATATAAAATACTTTTTCATTAGATTTTATTACAAATTTACTTTTGAGATGTAAGTAGCTTTCTCTATGCTTAATACCAACTATATATTATTCACAAAATTAAAATTGCCCCATAAAATTTACAAACGTTACACATCTCTTCTTTACCAATACAAGTTGTGTGATTTTAGTTTGACTCTGTCTTTCTTCATATAGCTAATGTATACCTAAGATATTTTCTGACCTTGTAAGGTGATATGTATTCACTACAAAAAAAAAAAGATTAAATAGGGGATTATTCGTTGAACTTTGACATCAAATTAGAGTTGATATCTGTTTAGAACTCTGACACATTTTGATTCTTGAACTTTAAAAATGTATGAATATAGTCATTTTAAATCAATTTTGTTAAGCTTTTTTGACATGTCAAATGCATTTCGTGTTAGGATTTGATGAAATATGATATGTGGAATTGAATTATGGTTTTAATTTGGCTTTAGTGAAGTGAATTGTATTATGAAATTGTGCTTATGTTTTTTGGTTGGTACAACAAATGAGTTTAATTGAGTAACTGAGTAATGTACAATCTGATAATGGGTATGTTTTGACATCTGTTCGGTAAAATTATGCAGACTGAACGAAAATATACTCGTTGGATAAAGTGAAAGTCAGAAAGCTACCGAGCTCACGGGTTAGTCCCTTGCAGGCAGCTTCATCTTCAGGCCAGAATTTGGTTCCTTCAAAAGGGTTTCCTTGATGTCCTTAAGGTTAGCTCGAACCCTAGCTTCGATTGGGGAAAAATTTGGACCCCCTCGCAACTCAATTCTGCGTTTGGGGTTAGCAAAGCTGTGCGTTTTGAGCTTCAGCTATGCGTTTTGACTCGTCTTAGGACACGTTAGTCATAGCAATTGACAAAAAATAGCTCCTTTGACCAAGGTTAAACTGCAAAAAGAGAGAAAATTGGAGATGGGTTAGGAAACAATTATGCAAAGAAAAAACCTATTCTAGCAAAAAGACAATTGTATTTATTTTCAAAAAGTTTTAGAAAAGCAAGAACCAATATTAAACTCGACACAATTATTTGTTAAAAACACCTAATTAACTTCATTTTTACAAAACGTATATTTTTCATCCTAACCAAAAATTAACCTAATTCTAAAAATTTTAAAACTAAGAAATTAAAAAAGAATATTTAGCACAGAAAAAGATGAAAAAGTGAAGTTACACCCCACGGACTGCCCTCCTGGGCAGGGGAGATCTAAAACTCTAAAAGGAAACATAAAAAACAAAAGACAGTCACATTTCACCTATTTACAGATCTACACAAGTCCAACTGCACTATCCTAGTTCAAAACTGCCAAAAGACCATTACTCATCCAAATCCAAGTTTAATGAAAGCTAGCAAGTAAAAGAAATCCAAATCCAAATACATGTTTATTTTGAGGTACAAAAACAACAGAGAGAATGTTGCCACCCCTAGTGGCAATGCAATCTGATAGCTTGGCTACAATTCCAACCGTGTCCTATCAGAAAGACATAATACTAGGAAAAATTGTCAAAGGAGACTCATAATTGTATGCTTACCGTGCATTGAAAGACATGGATTTCATGAGTGAGGAAGGAATTGGAAGACTATGGGTTTAAGGGGTCAACGGATATATTACAGGTTATGAAATTATTATAACCGTAACTGTTCCTGTTGCTCAATCTGAAAACTTTGAGGTTGTTCAAAGTAGAACACAGTTTTCGGACGATGCCCATTTCATTTGGCTATCCAAACTAAGGTATTTGGTGCGTTTGTGCTTGTTTTCTCATTCCGCATGTATTAGCTTTATGGACCAAGAATAATAGGAAAAGATATACGTGGTCTAGAACAATGGAAAACGACTTCAATAACCTGCATAAACGTGGTCTGAAACAATTGAAAAGTTATTCTCCAAATTAGAACTTTGCATACATTTGTGGCGGTTTGCAGACACAGCCACTCTTTCTATTTATTATTATTATGGATTTGGTTTAATAGGTTCGGAGGTCCCTATATTTGTGTGTTCGTTTCAATTGAGTCCTCCAATTTTAGAAGTGATCAATTGGATCCCTAATTTGGTCAATTTGATTCAATAATAGCCTTTTCGTTAAATGCAGTTAACGACGTTAACCTTTTTTAATAGGTGGCAAGCTGAGGCGTCCAGGTGACACTGTTTGAGCCTTTTCTCAATCTCTGTTACCTCTCTCTCTCATGTAATGAAATCCAGTAGCCCCATCATCTTCATCAAATTTCACTCATCAATCACCATACCCTTAATATATAACCCTTTCATCTCCAGTTCAGAACCCTCATCCAATTTCCTTTCTTCTTCCTTCGATCATTTGTCTCATTCCTCTCCCAAATTT